AGTCTGCTGTGCCAAATAGTTAGTTCGAAATCGCTTGCTTGTTCTGAATAATCAAGTATGAAGATCAGGTGACAATCGAAAGTAATAAGTAACACCACAGATTTAGCGTAGTGTAACGGTACCGCACTGATTTATTGAAACAGAGTTTGATGTGGTCACTCAAAAATCAAATCTTATTAATGCAGAAGTTGTTTTACCTTATTTGTCCGGCTGTAATCTGTGCATCGTTTGGCAATCTTCCATGATTTAATCGAAGATATGAAGATTAAGATGGTGTGACCTATAGTGTGGTCGCAGACTCCTTTCGTTGTATTAAAGTTGTTTGGCCTTGTTTTCGCAACTTAGAGAAACACATCAAGTCCGGAGTCCATTGTATGCATTTTCATTTCCAAAGTCGGTCCGTGGACGTGGTACATTCCCAGACAACAGGCCTACTGTCAGCCAACTAGCTCCAGTCCCCGCCGCGTCTATCCTGTTCCTATTTCTAATACCAAGTCTATAACTTGCTATGCCCTAGTCTTTTGTGTGTCAACCCACAAATGTTGTGGTACTGCTTGCTCCGATTAGGCTCAATATTGAACCACAATGTTTGTGGGTTGGCAAACAAGAGACCAGGGCATAGGAAGTCTTAAGTCTGTGTCTGACTGAATATTAAGGATTATTTCCGCATATGAAGGCTTTCTGTATAGTCTCCTCATGAGTGTCCCATTGGAGCGCATTACTTCACTATCCAGAAAGGGTAGTCGTTCATCTCCCTCCATCTCCATAGTGAATTTAATTCATTCATCAAGTTGGTTAATAAAATTGAGGAATCCATTTCCAATTTTCCTTACCAAGGTGACCAAAGTGCAAAGTAGTCAATCAAGTATCGCATAAGCACTCTTGGTTGGAGTGGTGACTTCTCGAATTCCTTTTCTGACTTATCCATGTACATATTTGAAAAAAGGGGTGAGTGGAGATCCCATCGGTAGTCGAAATATTTGCTTGTAGATACTGCTGTTAAATGTAAAATATGTGGTCCTTATTGTCAGGTTTATCAGTCGTGTTAACTAGTCTTTTTTTATCCGTTCTGCCTCCAGGATGTCCTCTTCTCGCTCCAATATCTCCTCAATGCGCTACCGCCTTCTCGCCTGAGATGTTTGTGTGCATGGATTGTACATCGAAACTCACCAACAGTTCCGTCTCCACCAACCCAATGTTCTGAATCCTTTTGAGAAAATTCATATGAATTATTAACGGTATTCGAGAGTCGATTATTTACTTTCTTGAGCTTCAAGCTAATGAATTTTGCCCGTTTGTGTATTGCTCCATGCTTGTTTTTGACTCTTAATATTAGCGGATTTCCTTCCTTGTGTATCTTCGTTAACCCGTAGGCTGTCAGTGGTCTTGCGTCATTTTTGCTTAAAGATTTCATCATCCATCTCCGTGTACAGTTTTCTGTCGATTACAACAGTCGCTCCTCCCCTATCAGCCCGAATAACTATTTGAACATTCTTGTAATTTTTTTCTGTATAGCAGTCAATCTGCTCCTGTGTATCGGTTCTTGATGTGTCAGCATTCGTGGGATTATTTCCAGTTCCATCTCCCGCCTTGTCTTAATATTTATCCGTTATGTTGACAACTTCCACCAGAATATCACTAAGAACGTTTCCTTCGTTACCTATGGAAAAATGTAGCCCCTTCTTTAAGAGATCCGTTGTTTTAGAATTAAGAGGGATTGAAGATAGGTTTGCAACCTCAATCCTATCGTCGTCTGTATCAGTTGATGCCTTTAATACAGAACCATCAAAGTTTGCCCGGATTGGCTTGGTCTTGCATTGTCCTATTATACCATAGCTAAGCAATTTCTTTTCATGGTACTTATTTATCAGATCCCGGACCCTCTGTGACTTCTGGTCCGTCATGCTCTGGTATTTTTGAAAATGATCCAAAGTGAGAACCCTACCTAGATCATTTCTTAACCTGGACTCGATATATATGAACTTAAATAGCCTACGCCTCTCAGTCTCGTAATTTTCCTCTGATTTCTGGATGGAGCCATTATAAAATATTTCATTAACTGTTTCCGAATGATACTTCCTCATTAGATTGCAAAATCGGGGAACGATGCCATAATGTTTGCAACATTTCAAAAAGGCGAAATGCTAGGATTGACTTACAATTGTCTTATTTGTCCGGATGTAATCGGTGCATTGTTTGGCAATCTTACTTCCATAATTTAATCGAAGATATGAAGACCAAGATGGTGTGGTCTCAGTCTCCTTTCGTTGTATATAAATTGTTTGGCCTTGTTTTCGCAACTTGGTCATATTGCCAGGAAGACTTAGGGGAATGCACCCAGTCCGGAGTCCTCTGTATGCATGATCGTTCCGAGACGTTTCGCCGGCATCGTAGTTGGCATCGTCAGTGGGTTTTGCTATTCTTAACACCATACTACAACTCGTCGAAGAGACAAGTGCAGCCGATCCTTTGACCAAACGTCTGCTAAACAGTTGTGGTATCTCTCCTGTCCTGGGCTATTCATCTCTCCTTTATCCTTGTATCACGCTTTCATTATCACACATAATCTTCTACTAGCCAATTTTTTTCTTTTTTAATTTTGTCTTATTCATAATTAGTATTTATCCATTTTTTCTATCTGCTTTGTCTCGTTAAGCTCTCCCCAAACTCATCCAGCCACAGAGAACTCTTCAGACTCTCGCTGCACTCCTACTGTGTTCGATTCCGAACTCTGGGATAAGGAGGCAACACGTGAGCACATGCGTAGTCACGCTGTCTTTAAGCTAGTCGAGGAAATCATTCTCATGGAAGAGATGCAGCCTTCTCAATCTCTTAAAAATAGTTTTATTACTCAAATTCCTACTGCATCTACCAGTACAATGGGGGCGACAACCACAACCCTAGCATCTTTCAAGTCAGCCGATGCTTCGCTCTCCCCTATCGCGCCGTGCCCCGCCCGCTGCCTTTTCCTCCCGCGCCGACGATTGCCGCATCCCGAAGCTGTGGGCATCTGGCGACAGCGGAAACGCAACAATTCGTTTACTCTAAACTCGAGTTCGACAGCAGCTGAAGGTTCAGGCGAAACGCTCACAATTAATCGGTGAGTTTTTCTTATCTTTCAAAGAAAGTCCTTCATTGGCTTCATTTTTTCTTTTTATCGAAGCGTTTTATAAAAAGCATACGCGTTTACCCTGCAAGTTTCATTTCAATAAACGAACCGGGCATAATATCTCTTATAAAGTAATTAACTTCATAGACTCGATGTCAGAGTAGGGGGTGCGTTTCAGTGTCTTTCGTCAAGTTGTTTGTTTTTTCCCTTCTATTGGACCAGAATATATCAGGAAATCATTATGTGAGTGAGAGTTTGGGTGGGCTAAAGTTTCATGCAATCCATAACGGAAAAGATAATAGTGAAGATATAAGTGAATTTGTCATATCACTAAATTATACGTTTTTATGCAGCTGAATGGAATATATAAGCTGTGTAAACCGATTTGTATGAATTGTAATGCGATAAAAAGGTTCTATATAGTTTGTTTTATAAAGCATTCTTGCATGCACAACTGGAAAATTTTCTTATTCTTTTAGCCCAAATTTTTCTTTGGACTTTAACGGAGCATTTTTGAGATTACTTTTATTTCCTTTAAAAGTGTATGATGAACAAAATCTGTCGATTATTCTTAAAGGAAGACGGCGACGGATTTCTCCTAGTCTTCTGTTTGATTTTTCTAGTATGCAAATGCTTAAAAGTCTCAACTCATTCTTTTAACGACTTTAAACATATAACAAATCAAGAAAACAAAATTTCGGCAAATTTAAATTTAAACTGAAAGGAGCCTTGAGGACCTCTTCAATACAGACATCCTAGTAAAAATCAAACGACAGGCCAAGTGGAATCCTTCGTCATCTTCTCTACGAAACTCTTTATCACACGCTTCACACGAAATTAAAGTCTCTCAATAATTATATATCGATAGATAGATCAAAAACGACTATAACTAACGCACCAGTAAAAGTATATATGAAGACCAAGATAGTAGAGCATTTAGCTATATAGTGTTGGTTTGACCTCGTTTTTGCAACCTGTTCGGAGCAACTGACAGACTTTATGGGATATACCTAGTTCATCATCCTATGAGATAGTATTCATGATGTTTACCTGCATCATACCATTGACTTGTTACATTTCCGGACGCTTCACAGGCACCATCAATGAGAGATACCATCCTTATCAAAGAGTTGCT